CATACGCAGGATAACCTGTAGTGCACCACTCATCTGTTGAACATTGTAATGATATTTTAATGAATTTTAAATACAATAGTAATATTTATAAATAATAATAATAAATTTAATTTAGGTACGCACCATCAATGATCAAATTGTCAAGACTAGTTGGTTCAATTGGATTTAATTTTGATCGTTGATTTCTCAAAGTTCTTTTCACATGATCTTCCACTGGCATTTTTGATCTTACGTTACCGTCCAACTTAGCAACTCCTTCTGCATATACTTCTAGTGGCTTAGATAGGCCACTTTTTGATTGTTGTTTCATAATGCATAGTGATTTTTCCACATCTACCTTTTCACTATCTCTGAAGTGGTTATGATCGGACTTCAATACAGGGTCTTCTTTTTGAATGTTAGTGTATAATTCTCCCATACATTTAAAGGAGGACCTTTTTGAACACCTCCATGTTATTTTGGATTTACCAAAATGCTTTAACACATACATATACCCGTTGTTACACAACTTCTCACAACCTTTATTTGACGTTATAATCTCCATAACTTGGGTGTAGGACGAGTAGGTACAACAATTACAGCCAAAAACCAAGTGTATACTAATGGAATACTACATATTATTTTGTTAGTACCTATTTGGATGGATACAAATACCTGTCATTTATCAATAAATTTCAATTTTATTACCCAACTAATATTTTGACTGGTTTAAGCAAAGTTCAATTTACTTACTTCATTCACTAGTATAAGGGTATCAACAATATAAATTAAATTAAATGTCAAAATGATTATCAGTAAATGTGTAATAAAACATAATTGGGTGTATTGTGATTCCATTCCCCTTGTATAAAACCATTGTAATATAAGATTAAACTTGAACAAATAATAAACACTCATATTATTTTCCAAACTTATATTTATATTATATTAGTATAATTATATAATTTCCCAATATGCCTTCGCTGGTTGGTTCTTCCCTCAAGATACTACATATATAATAATTTAAAAAAAAACATAATTTTTGCTTATTGTACTTTTTTTATTTACAGATTGTATAAACTAGATTTAAAATAAAAAAAGGTGGGCAAGTGGGTGTCGCTCTGCTGTACAGTAGGTTACAAGTGGGTCACTGTATAATGGATGATATTAAATTTGAATTCAACGATATAATATCATTGTATAAGAAAAACGATTCTGAGCGGAGACGGTATGTCAGTCTAAGTATAAGACATAATATTATATACATATCTATGGTATTAAAAATAAAATTGACCTATAATAGGTACCTATAATGAATTCCAAATTAATCATATCACAATATCCTTTAGGTACTTATAACGCGTTATACACCAACAACAAACCGTGATACTATCAGAGATATATAATAGTACACTTTAGAAGTTTCAAGTACCCACAAATAATATTATTCAATCACAACAAAATAACTAAAATAGTTATTCTAGGTTTTTTAATATGTAATTTCGTCCAAATTTGAATTTAAAGTTTCTGTAAAAAATAACTGTGTTCATATATTTCTTAGATTTTTTGGTTACAGTATGAACTATTTATGAGAACCTTTGTTTTAAATTTCTAATCCTTAGCTATAAAAACTGAAAATTTTATAATTTATTAATTACAATGATTGATAATTTTCGAGATTTTGATAAATTTTGTCAAAATTCGATCTTTAAATGCTTATAAAAAAAAAAACCTGTGCCTATGTATTTTTAATATTTTTCAACTGATATTGTAACAATAATCAGGAGCCTTGTATTACATTTTTACACTTTTTGGCCCAACAGATAAAACTTTATTGATATTTATAGAAAAAAGAAACTAAAAAAAATTGAAAACTGAAAATGTCCGTAAATAGCTCAAAAAGAGTCAAAATATTTTCAAAATTGTATGGTGTATAGGAAATGCTAATCTGAACATTCAGTGAAATTTTCATGTATCTACAGTTATTCGTTTATAACAAAATAAGGAAATCCCTACATGAGAAATCGAGTGAATATCCAATGTTGTAAAAATTTGAATTTCAAACACTCATAAAAATTTAATTTGACTTTTTTATAGACATTTTTTTTTTGATAAAGGTAGATAAGGAATCTTGTATCACATTTTAAAATCTTAGATTTAAAAAGAAAAATTTTTACGAATTCTTAACTCAAAATAATTTGTTAATTTTCGTGATTTTTCCATATTTTGTCAATTTTTGAACTTTAAATGCTTATAAAAAAAAACTGTGACTAAAGATTTTTAATATTTTTCATCTGCCTTTGAAAAAATATACTAGGAGCCTTCTATTAAATTTTCAAGCTTTTTCAATCAACAAATAAAATTTTATTGATATTTTTAGAAAAAAAACTAAAAAAAGATGGAAAATGAAAATGTCCCTAAACAGTTCAAAATAAATCAAAATATTTTGAAAATGTTATAGTGTATATAAAATGCAAATATAAACAACCGGTGAAAATTTCATGTATACATATACGTTCATTTCTTTTAGAGTTACACCAAAAACCAAAATCGATTTTTTTGGAAAACCGATTTTGCGTAAAAATTCCCGTTTTTCCTTAATTTTTATGTTGTTTTCCCGGCGCTTGTGAAAACTACTGGGAAATTCTTACTTTTGACCCCCCAAAGTACCAACTAGATTCACTTTTCTATCAGAAAAGCTACTGATGAAGAAAATCCAAGCATTTTTACTGTCCTAAAACTTGATGACAGACACAAAAAAAATAAAAAAATAAAAAAAAAAACACACATCATTGTAAAATCAATACATTCATCGTTTCACTCAGAATCTAAAAATATTATATAATTATATTAAATATAGATGCATTAACATTTATTTTTAATTTTAATTTTTTCGGAGGGCTTTTTTCTGTGGGTTATATTTCCATGGGCTATTTTTCCTTGGTAATTTCTTTTCTATGGGTTTTTTTTCCATGGGATTTTTTTCAGTGGGTTTTTTTTCCGTGGGCATTTTTTCCTCGATTCTAATTTTACACATCGATTACAGTTACCCACACGACATCTAATGTATAGCAGAGCCAGAGCAGTGGTCCCCACTTGCCCGGGCCAGGCACGTAGCCAGAAAATTTCTACTAGGGGGGCCAATAATGTTTGGCCCTTTTATTACTTTCCAAAATTTTTCTTTATGAAATTCTTGTAAGGGGTATGCAATACAAAGAATCTTATTAATTTAAATAATTTACCTTTAGTTGGTAATTGGTTAAAATTATTTTTTTCACAACAAGTTATAACTAATACTTACTTATTTAAGAATTACAAAAATAGAAAGTACCATGATAACAAAAAAAAAAATAAATATAGAATTACCTACATCTTCACTTATGGGATACATTTTTCATGCTATGAAAAATAAATCTACATACATATTTAAAATAATAAGCTGCTTCAATTGTTTAACTTCAAAAATTAATTCATATTTGAATACTCATCAAAAATAATAGAGATAAATGATCATCGATTTTTAAATTAATATATTTTTTAAAGAAACTCAAATTTATTAAAAAAAAAAAAAAAAAAAACACATACTAGTAGAAAATATTAATAGGTAATACACTTATACTTATATAAATATTAAACAGTGCAATATAAATAATTTTTCTGTTTTTATGATTTTCCGAAAACAATTGTACAAATATATCTAGATCTAAGTTTTTAGAATTTTTTTTTTATGCTCATTGAAGCTAAATTATTTAAACGATCATTTGTCATGCGATTCCTCAGAAAGGTTTTCAGTCGTCTCAGACATGAAAAAGTTCTTTCGCAAGCTAACCTAGCATAGACTTATAACTGCGGCTAATATATTGTTGTTTTTAAAAAGAGTATCAAGACCCTATTATATTGTATTTTTTTCAGATAAAGTTATCCACTGTTCCCCGAATATAAAAATTAAATTATTACAATAATAATTGTATTACCTAATAGTAATCACAATAGATTTCTCTCAATGTGCATAATCACATTTTTGATAATTGGTAAAAATAATTATATTTTGAATTTGGGGGGGCCGGCCTTGGGCCAGAGTATATTTAGGGTGAGCCCGGCCCACCCAGGCCCCCCCTGGCTACGTGCCTGTGCCCGGCTTTTTTGTTTATTGAAAACGTATCTATTATTAAATTTAACTACAAATAAATACAATAGGACTCATTTAAGCATCAAATGTTGGGTACTAAAGGGTAGCATATTATTATATTTTATGTACTTTACCTACTGTAAACAAAATATACTAGGAAATCGAAAATTAATAAATGTTGGGTAGTACCTACAATATTTTCGGAAACCACCCGAGGAGGGGCCGGGTCACGGAGCTCCGTCATCGGCGCCTGGCGTGCGCGCGCCCGGCGCGGCGTGCGTCAGGCACTCCGGCGGCGGAAAACCGACGACGGCTGATAAACGCCGCGTAAACGGAGCGCGTGCGCGGGCCTCGCCGACACGCGCGCGCGAGCACGAGGGTGGGCGGACGCGAGTGAGCGAACGCGCGCGGCGCACGCACGCGCGCGTTCAGGTACGGTGGCGGCGGCGTCGGTGCGCAGTAGTAGGTAAATCGCGCCCGGCGTGTCAACCGCGCGCGTGCTTGCAGCCGACAGACAAGATTGAACCGCCGCGGCAGAGGGAGAGTTAAAAATATCGCACAACATATTTTAATATCGCGATGTTATTTGTTTAATTCGATATTGTACCTTGTCGCTTTTTGCTACTTTGGCGTACACAGAAAAAAAATTTCATTTAAACTTTTTACCGATTTTTCGTTGACATTATTATTCTTACAGTCGGTTCGCGGCAATAGTGCGGTACATTAAACTTTTTTTTTCACGCGTCCAGTACCCGCACACGCTGCCTGGCGTACGGTCGTGTAGTTTGCATAGCTCGCAGAATATATTGTGCCGACGCAGGTAATCTCACCACTGTCTTGTACGTGTAAAGTTTTGTTATATTGAGAACATAATTTTTTGTGCACGAGCCATTCAATTTGGTTTTTTACGAATTTTTTCCGTTTCGCTGTCCTTGCGACGATTCTGTTTTGCTCGCCATAGCGAACGTGCTCGGAACGTTCGCCGTGTCACTTGATCCTGATCGGGGTGGCACCCAGACCTGTACCTGGGCACGATGTCTTGAGAGCTTGAACTGACCGAGCCGAGAAATTGTTGACACCATCCACATGGCTGGGGCACTGGAAATTCTACCAGAAGTAAGTGCCGAAACCTTACCGTATAGCTTATATAATATTCAACAACCATGGTATTTTATAACAAGTATAAAGTTAAGTAGGTACCAGCAGTTGCTGCTGTCTGCGGAATTCGGGCGACGATCGACGACTTGTTCTAATTGTCAAGTCGACTTTTATCATTATTATTATTACTTATTATATTTTTGTCTCCGGCTTTATTTAACCACTAACCCAATACCCGACCGGAACACGCCGCACACACGTCTTGTATCATTGTTTTGTAAGAATACACCTTGAGTCGGGACAAAACGAGTCACGTCGTGTGCTTTCCGATCGGTACCTACTTAGACTTATTAGGTTTTATTTTGATCCTCCGCCAATAAACTCTTTGCTATGGCATGACCGCCTTATGTGTATATCTTGTTTTTAGCGCGGATGATGGGGCAGCGTTAAAGTCTCCCTGCAGCACATACACTTGCTGGGATTTGACAATTTGAAATTTCTTATAGTTGGAACTTATAATGATATACTTTCTGCGACTATTGGCTAGATATAAACAGAGTAGATTCGTTATTATAATTATTAATATTCTAACGATATTTTAATAATTATATAAATTGAATAATATTGTTATTATTGAGAGCTGTAATATATGTTACATTTAGATTCATATATATCCGTAGTATCTTAACTTATAAAAATATCGTTACGGTAGATAGGTAATTTACATCACGTTAAATTTGGAGCCAAGTTCTGAACGTTTTCTAATAATAACACTGATAATTATTTTTGTTTAATTACTATAGAATCGCTCAAAACTCTAAACATTATTTGATATTTAGGGAACTTTCAAGTATTTAGGATCTAGGAATTCATTAAATTCATTTTTGCAGACCCACCATTAATCATAATTAATTAATGCATTTAATAATCATAATTTTTACATACAATTAAATAAAACACACCTATTTTAATACTATAGGTATATGTATAGTATTATATACCTATTAGTTATTAGGTACCTATAATTCATAAATGGTTTTTGTCATTTCATAATATTAAAATCGAATGAAATATGTATGAAGTACTATATTGTATTGAGACAATTTTCTAAATAGAAACTAAAAAATGTGTGTACTGTATAGATTATATACTTATTTATTTAATTTGTATTATTGATATCAATCGTATGATAAACTATTCATTTGACTAGCACTGTGTACAATATTTTAATAATCTGTTCAAAAAATAGTAGTGACCTCGATGTATGTAAATAAAACCCCTTGATATTACCTATTAAGATAGAATATTTTTTTTTTTTATCGGCAATTTGATTATTTCTATTGGAATAGGTAAACTGATATTTGTATTACATCGTAAAATATAGGTAATACTTAATTTAGTTATTTAATATATCCACTAAAAAAAATTATTAACACAACGATGTAAAACAGATTGCTCTGCAATACTTGATATATACATATAATTATTAATAAAGATAAGATATGGCCATCTAAGGTAGGTAGGTACACCAAATTATGTTTTTAATTTCCATATGTTTTCCAATTAAAACCAAATATAAACGTAATGACAAACCAACCGACTACTCCGTATTCTTGTACACCTACATACATTATTTGTACATACCTGCGAGGAAAATAGATCGTACACATTTCTATACGCGATCGTGTATAGTTTGTTGTACGCGTGCAACGTTATCCCAATATTACGACACATTTGGTTCGTACATTATAACATTGTGTTTAGATGTAGGTAGGTGCCGTGTGTCGTTTTCTCTAAAATTCAAAACCGCCGAATATGATCGGATTCCGCCTCGGGCCGACCGACTGCAGACCAGACTTTACAGTCTACATACATAATATTATTACGGGTGCCAGGCATAGCAGCTATAGTGGTACCTATGTAACGTCTCGCCGTGCGCTGTACGGTAAAACAATGTTGTGAAATTTAAATTCGAACTCCCGTTTTCGATCTAAATCAAAATTGCCCTCGTGACTCTTTGTGCATAATATATACACCTATACTGGTACTGGTGTATGCAGACAGGCGACGTCGATTGTTACTGTTAAAACGTTAATAACTTACCCGCACTGACGTTTGTAGAGGTTTTATCATAGTGAATTTACACACAGCACACTCCCACGTATATATGTATTATGTATACACTCCGACACAAAACCGTTGTTGACAATATTAGTATTGTGTGTAGGTACTACCTACATTCCTCGTGGATCGGCGGTGGTGATCGTTTCGAAGTACACCTAATATCTATCACGAGACAAAAAACCGATAATTTCAGTTCACTGTAAAATTAATAGTAAAAAAAAAATGTGTAGGTGTGTATAAATGCTATGTATTACATTGTTGTTAATAATGATATTAATTGTCTTCGACATTTGAACGACGATTGACAATATATTGATAAAATATGTAGTACATAAATGGCAATATAAAAATAGATATTTGAATTTAAAATATATCGTGTATATAATATATGACAAAGAAATCACTTTACTATACTGGTTGGGTGGACTAAAATATACAACAACGAAGCAGCTAGGATAGCCTTCTGGTTCTACAAGTGCTTACATTTAATAAACGCATACAATTTACTAATTTTCTCTAAATATTATTATTCTTCACGCTGTGTTTCGTATAAACCGAAAGGGTAGAATGCATTAGTCATTTGACTAAAAAAAAACGTATATAGGGTTATGTAAACCTACATTTATGTTAAATTATAGCTCTCATACATATATTACTGTTTTTAATGAATATTAATGAAATTCAAATAGTATCCTGTTCCCGTATCGATTAAGATTTAATATTCGCTCTATTTAAATGCAGTATTATTACTCGTTTGACGGCGTCCTACAGCAGTTCACCCACAACTACTTAATGTATAAGAGGCGTTTGTGTAGGCAATTTAAGTACAGTCTTGCACGTTCCTCTATCCGCATAATTCGCCCAGCATACACCTGTATTTTTCGTCTAGAAATCGTAAGTAAGTTTAGGTACAATGGTATAGGTACTTAATTCATTTTTCCGATGGTGGTATAATGAAAACAGTGACATTTGACATATTTTATGTCGTCAATATTTATTTATTTTTTACTTTCCGGAACTGCAATTATTGTTGGTTAATTGTATTACAATTTACTGTGATCTATAAATTGACTATAATATATTCAAGGACATGAATCGGGGAAAATCTAGAGGGGGAGTGGATATAGATATAGATACCTATATATTTTAGAAAACCAAGGACGAGGATGAAGGCCTTTATTTTCCGTAATGTTTAGGTAAAATAACGAAAAAAACTTTCTTTTATTACATTTTCACCGTGTTAAACGGAAAAAATTATCTTACAAACGCTTTTTTTATTAATAAAATTAGTGAAATATTTTAGGAAATCAGTTCACTCTCGGCGTTGTCGATGATATAATTATATTATACATTTATACCTGTGAATTGTGATTTTCATAATATTATACTATTAAAGTTACGGCGTTACATATAGGTACGAGGTACCTATTTATACTCAAAACTATAAAACCATACCTATAGTGCACAAAAACCCAACTTATTCTTATTAAGGGCGTCGCGCGTCGGAGCTGGTGCGTTTTTAGTAGAAAATATGTATTACAGGTAAAACTCTCAAGCGTTGAATAATAGTCGGATTTCGTTAATTTTTTTTTTTTATTTGAAAATAAAGTGAGTTCAAATTATAATTATAGAAGTTTCTATAAAAAATAAGCATTTTAATAATGCACAATATTTGTTATTTTTCTAGCACTAAAATTTGGGTATGATTTGGCCTGAAAAAAATTCTCTTCTTTTAAATAAAAAAATGTATCAAAATCCGATATCAACAAGCTGTGGGGGTTTTTCCTGTGAAGTCATTTTTTTTATATAACACACCGAATCAATCCTCTCCCTCCCCGAATTGGTATCGGACAGTAGATTAGTGGAAAAGTTTTATAACGATGGTAGTAATACTAAAATATAAGATATAATTTTCAAATTGTAGAGAATTACGGAAAATTGGAAAATCCAGCACCGATACCATTAAGAAAAATGAATGAAATTCAAAACTGCATATAATAACATAAATGATAGGTACAACTAATCTTTCTGATTAAAATCCACCAAAATGTAACCACACATAAATCATTATTTTATTATGTGAGAAATGTATTACAATAAATCCTATAATTTATTCTTAACAGTATGTCAGTGCACTATTTCTTTGCTGTCTCAACATATTAAATATGAGTTCAGCAGAGCCAACCTTGTGTTAATAGCTTTAGTATTAAGGGTAAAATTTGAAATAAAATTATCATAGAGTTAGGAACATTATTATTGTTTGTAGGATGGCTTTTTACGATGTTTCAATTTGTATGCAATAGTAATGAAAAATGATAATAGTCTATTCGATTATTGTGAATAGGTATTGAAATAAATGTGTAGGTGATTAGGTGAATGGTTACAAATCAACAAGATATTTGGCCAATCATTTTTACTCGCTATTATATGTACCATTAATATACATTAAAATTTTATATTATATTAATGTCACATGTGATATGCAGTATTCATTAAAAACTATTAATTCGTTATTTTATTCGTCTAGATGTTTGTATCTCACAAAAACATTCAATTGTTGTTTGTATGAGGTCATACTTTAATAAGTGACGGCTGACACCCAGAAAGCAGACAGTTCTGTCAGTCCCGCGTTAGTGGGCATACTTGCACAAACAAGTAAAATAAATATGTGTACCTACCGCTTAATGGAAAACAATTCCAAGAAGGTTAAGTTGCTTTTTAACATTGTATGTCATTTGAAAATTTCACGTGATTCTGCCTACCTATATCAAGTTTCAACGGTAGCTCACGGAAAGTGTAAGTTCGGGAGGCGATTATATCAGGTTCGGGTTAGTGCAGTCAACATACGTTGAAAGTGAAATTTAAGAATGGCTCGCGTTACGAATGTTTTAGGAAATATGAAATGATCAATCCGCGGTAAATGTATCACAAATATGGCCAATA